GATGACCGGGTGCATCCTTTTCATGCCCTCTATTAATCACGATTGGCGCAAGTGGAATTATTATTGAGGTTATTAGTATAATAGTTTATGTACCTAACAGGTTCATCACCTTAAGCGCAGAGTACATAGCGTCGTACCACTTGTATGATATACACCACGCTTGTGACTCTTTTGCCGCGTCCAACAAAAATATGATGCAAATCATTTCAGTTTCAAATACTTGTAATGTGTATTTTGGTATTTGAACATGAACACCGAAAAGTAAAGTACATAAAAGGCCTGTGCATCGATTTTAAAACAAATCGGGACAGCCCGTACCTTTCAATCCTGTAGTGGCGAAGTAATGTCAATTAACCGTAATTATTACATTTAAAATGAACTTCGTTCTGTACGTGTCAAGTACGACTGCCCGTTGACCCTGTATGCGTTTTTTACGCCGTGGCCGGGTTCGATTACTCCACACAGTCAACAACGAGGTCCCCCTGAGGCAAAACAATAATTATAACCCAAGCTTATAATTATGTACTTGCACATACCTGGTTTTACAGACATTTTATTGGCCGTAAGCAGGGTGCAGTTTACAAGGAGCTGCAGTGTGGGAACACTACACTGAAACGAATGGAACTGAAATTGTATGAACTTTGTGCTTTTTTATAGTGTACGATCGATCAAGTGGAATTTTTTACTGTTCATGTCGGCAAACATTGAGGCTGTATTAACTGAATTCCCTTGACGAGGTGTCCTGTATTGAGTTGGTCACAAAGTTCCCTGTTATCACGATAACGAATACACGGTTGGCAAAGCTCGATTAAGCATGCGCAGTTTTACCGTTCGTCTCGAATATAGGTCCACAAGCCACAAACAAGTTTGTGTCTCCCGCTAAAGCACCACATATTCAGTCTCTTGGCTCCCTATGACCAAGAAATCAGACTCCGATTGTTACTGTAAATACCTTGATTCTGAAGTACATTTAGCTATGTTTAGTGGTACAACACAAAATGGGCATTGTGTACCAATATGTCGGACGCCGCTTTGTTAGTATTTTTGGTCAAATAACTGTCTCTTCCGTCACTGTCTGCAATTAAATTAAGATTAATTGTGTGGTCGTTATATTACTACTACACAGGAAAATAGGCTTAAATCCGAACTCAACTGCAAAAGTCACCTTTTTTACAGCAAACTAACGCATGACTCATCGAGTACATCTCTCTTCACAGTGATACAAATGGGTATCCAATTATTCTTAATTCTTTAGGCATCATGGCTAGCTAAGTGCTGGTTGAACCTTTTGCAATATTTTTGGGAAAAAAAGTAATCAAAAAGTATTTCTTTGAGCATTGTTGTTAAATTCATGGAGCTTTGGTGTATTTCACAATTAAACTTCGATGAATTAGGATGGGGAGATACTTTAGAAAGAACAGGAACCGCCAGCACAATTTTCGAATTTTTTGACTTTGTTTAAAGTGATGGCGTTTGAATACGAAATTAGAAAAACGGACTCTTGTGGTAAGAGAGACATCTGGTAAAGAACTTTCCTCAGATACACAGCCAACAAACGAAGCTATGCTCAAACCAGTAGGCCTACTGGTACAAGTTGACGTGAATTTCAGTACAAAACAAACTACCGTTGGATAAAAAAGAAATCAAAATAATTAGCTTATGTGAGGACACAGACTGTGACTTAAATTCTGTTTCCATTAAGCCGAATACTTATCAAAATACTGTAATCCACTTACAGTAGAAATAAGATGGTTCTTTACCACTATGTCAAACTAGAAAAAAAATCAGGGTTTGTCTGATATGCATACTAAGAGCGCTTTCAGTGTACTGCAATTTATTACCGCAACGTTTAATATACCATATGAAATGTAAATGTAACATATTTTGCACATACTACGTGATAATGGACAGTACATGTATATTTGAAGATTTATTACTGTAATAACTCTATAAGTTTGACAGAAAAATAGATTAACGAAACGAATCTAAAAAGAAAAACTACATACATCTTCAAATTAATAAAAATTATTCCATTGATCCGTATCACAAACATGGATGTTTTGACGGCCGGAAAAGAGCCTGGAAGTTAACCCCTGATGGCGCACTTCCAGAACCCTGGGATTAACAACATGTAAAAGAGTTTAGAATTAGTAAAAATTTATGTTCAGTTCCTTATTAAAATCTCAACTTGTAAACAGGCCTTTTGTAGAGTATTTGGTAGCGCGCGTATCAATTTATAGAAACATTACTTAACCTAATAACTTACTTAACCTTGAAATAAATGAACAGTCCAATGCTGTGGTCTTGTACGCAGGCGAACATGCAGTTACAGAATTATACCTTATGGGAGTCTGTTGGTAATAGCCAAAATAAAAACAGACCAAAAATATTTGAACAAATTTGTAACTTAGAAGGAAATAAACTTAATACAATATTCCGCGTTCACAGAAGACTCTAATGTTTAATATCACTGTTGCTGACAAGAACTGTGTCAGGTCAACTCGACTGAATGTAGAACCCATCCACTACCGGTAGATAAATCTTAGCAACATTTTACCATCTCGTTTTCACGAAAGCACAGGGAATGAAAACAAACGTGCACGAACAAGGAAACCTAGGAACGATATTGCCGGAAGTGAAAGGTCGCTAATGAAAATCGTTTTTAATCATCTCCAGGTGACATTGCCAAAATATTACTTGAGGAGGACAAATGGAAAATTCCGATGTGGAATAATTTATATGGATAATTTATTAATCAAAACCTGTTTCTTGGGCTGGTTTAATTCAAAAATCCTTCCTAAAATTATCGAAAACAATATAGGACGGCCCCATGTTATCTTTCCACCGCGCGAGGGTTCTGGAAGCTTAGTGCATGACCTTTTACTTTCAGGGTCTATAATCCACAATAATCTACGTAAGTCGCATGGATTACACCATTCATGTCTATCTTTACATGTCTATCACTACATGTACATCCAGAATATATGAGTCCTTCAGAATACCATGACACTACCCAAAGGTTGGTATTTTCCTTCACAGCATTCTTGACTTGCTCCACGTTGTACTTGTGTACCTTGTCTACATCGCCAAACCCTATAAGTACAAACCTAATCTAAGGGTTCAAGGCCAAGGGCTACTGACCCACTGAGACACTGAAGTTTGGGGGCGGTGATGCTGCACAGAACGACATACTGAATGCCTAGGTCGAGAGAATACCGCAAAGGCCATGCAAAGGCTCTCGTCTCAAGGGCAGATACGAACATGATGGTCGGGAAGAATTACCCGTGCCAGCACTCCAATTTGTAACTCTTTACGAATTCTAATGAATGTAGGGCCTACATGTACATCTTTACTACAAAGAATACTAATGATTTTGAAGCGATACATTTATTATTACATTAATTCTGCCATTTTATCAAAGCACATAACTGTACTGTAGAGATGGGGGATATAGATGCATCACTTGAAATTGTAACAAAAAGTTCTGACCCTGTGCAAGTGGGCGTTTTTCTAAAGATGCTTGCAACAGTCGCCCCGGTCCAGTTATGTTTCAATACTCAGTCTTACATTAGTCGGATTCTGTAACACAATTGTGCTTTTATCATAATATACAAAACAGTTTGGCAGTACCACTCAATCACTTCGTTGGATTTTAGTGATAAGGGTAGAATTTTCAAAATAGCGCCAGAGTGCCCAATTTTCATGAGAGAAGGCTCATGTTACACTCAAATCAAAGCTCGTGATCTAGGGTAATTTTCAAATAGCAAAGAGAGCTTTTGCTGTGAGAACAAACATGACTCTCCAAAAGTAGGAAAATTTGGATGTTTTATATTGTAAATTCGTATTTGTAAAAAAATATTTTTCCATTATATTGGATGTAAATGTTTGAATGTTATCTTTGTGACGTATTTTTGAACAGGAAATCGATGTAAAATTTTGAATGTGAGTGATTTATGTATAACGTTGGATGGTGTGAATAAATGGAGTCTTAGAACTCCACTACACGGAAAAAAGAATATGACTTTTACTCGGTTCCGTTCCTATACTAAGGTGGATCATTACACCCTCACAGAGCAATATTCCACCAGACACCATAGATGAAGGACTTGGAGCCAATAATATTGACTATGT